CGTGCGCGGGGTGCAGCTGGGCCCCTGTCGGCTCGCGTGTTTGCTGCGCCCCTTTGAGCAATGACAACCGCGGGTGCAGCCGCCTTCAAAGCCAGGGCGACAAAAGGGAGCTTTTCTAGCATCGGTGCCTTTCTTTCTGTGCTCCACTCAGAAAGGCTTCGATGCTAGACAAGATCCTGTTTTTTGGCATCACCCTCACTGCCAGTGTGTAGAAAGGTTTGATGGTTGTTGAGCCAACCTGGCAGCAATTTATTTTCAAAGAATTCAGCACCGCGAACGGCGCTCTCACTCCACTGAAAAATAATTGATTCGCGTGTGGCACACGCCCTTGTGATACGCGTGACCGCGCGCCGCGGCACAATCCGCATGACGCCGAGCAGCCGCCCCGCCCACCAGCTCGCGCGCCGCTGTCCCTCGCCCACCCGTGCGCCCGCGCCTCCCCTTTTCGCCCGCAGGTCTGGCGCCTACCTGCGGTTTGTGCAGCTCTACGCGGATGCGCCGCGCATGTCGCCGTATCTGATGGACGCACTGCTGGACCGCGTGCGCGCCCGCGCCCTGCGCACCTTGGCCTTCGCCTACAGCCCGCTGCCGCTGCCCCTGGACTGGGCGGCGGCGCAGCTGGGGTTCGACGGCGCGGCCGAGGCTGCTGCGTGGCTGCGCAGCCGCGGCGCGGCGGTGGACGAGGGGCGGGGGCAGCTGCTGACGCGGGAGTCGCGGTTGGTGGGGTAGGGGCGGCGTTCGCAGTGGCAGTTGCGCTGCTGGGCGTATCTGCAGCTTGGGGCCGTAGGCAAAGCGCACGCACGACATGGCCTCCCATCGCACCCAGCCGAGTCGCCTGCTCTCGTTCAGGCGCAGCATGTGCCGTCCCATTGGATTGATGGGAGTGAAATTGACACTTCCATTTTGTCATTGGAAGCGTAGCTGGCGCGCGGCCTCGTGCAGCAGCCCCGCCCCACCCGCTTGATTGGGTGAGAAGCGCCGGGGCGGGGCCTTGCGCTGCAACACTGCAGTATCTCCAGGTGCCCAAAGCCTTTCTTGTTTTTCGTGGTTGGAGTGCTTGGAGTGCGCCCCGCCCCTTCCAATGTGTTGTATTGTACTCTTTCATCGTATCCTCACCCCCTAGGGCGTTTCATGCACCCATCGCCCTGCGCGGATCGTCTTTGTAACCTTGTAAGATCTACCGAACCTTGTGTCGCGGGGGCGCTGTCAGACTTGTATGGTCACCGTTACTGTGACTTACGAGGCATACGGTACACCAACGCTCGCCTAGACGGCGGGACACCGACAACCCAATGGAGCGCAGGCAGCTCGTGACACCCGCTCAGCCAGGCAGCGGGTGGGCTTTTTAGCATGTACGCAAGTTGCCTGCAATTGGTGCAGCAGGCCCAGGCCACGGCGCTTCGCAACGCGGCGGCGGTACCGGACTCAAACGACACAGCAGCAGCATGAGTGCAGCAGCGGGCACCTCCTTTGCAGAGCTCTGCGCCTTCTTGGACAGCAAGCCCAAGGGCGCAATGGTAGTGGTCGACGGCACGGACCATTACGCGCGTGCGGTGAAGGAGGGAACGAACCGCACCAGCATCCATATGCGCTGGTGCATCCCAAACGGTGACGGCCCGACGTTCACAATCGGCCCCTCGGACTACGACCGGATCTGGCGCGGCTCCTACAAGGTGCGCACCCGGCCTTCGTGCGAGGCATGACACCTCCTGGCGCTCGGCGCCGCCGCTGCAGCGTCGCCACTGCCCCGTCGCCCATTGGAGCGCGCCAAGCGGTCGGGCCTCCTGGCACTGCCGCAGCCCCTGTGAGGCGCCCTATCCCTTTTTACCAGCAGCGGCGTCAGCTGCATCTGGGCACAGCCGGACGCTGTTCACGCGAGGTCCAGGCCGCGCTGCCGCCACCTCAACGCAGTCCGGACTGCCCATCGACCGAATCGTCCGCGCCTGGCGGTGCATGTGTGTGCGCCCCTTGCCGCAGAACGATGACTGGGTCCGAGGCGACAGAGGCTGGTACCCCGCCGACAGCGCCGGTGGCGCCGCCGCCGCCCGTGGGCGCGGCCGAGGGCCGCGCGGCGGCGCCCGTGGTGGAGGCCGCGGCAGGGTGGGCGGCCGCGGGGGCCACGCGGCGGCCCGGAAGAATGCTGCGCCTCCACCGCTACAGCTGGCCCCGGCGCCGCGCGGCGGAGGCCGCGGCAGCGATGGAGACATGATGGCTGGGGGTGGCGGGGCGTCAAACGGCTCTTCAGGAACGGCGACAGAGCTGCAGGCATCGCCTCAGGGACGGCGGCGAGGCAGCAGCGCCGTTGGTTGCGCGGGGGCCGGCCCTCGAGTCACCGGCAGCAGCAGCCACTCCGCCCACCAAGGGAGCGTCGGCGTCGCTGGCGATGCGGCGCCTGCTCCGCTGGCCGAGGGCGGGGCCGCGGCATCGCCATTGCAGAGACCCGAGGGCTGGCGGGTGCGTGGGCGGGATCCGCGGGTTGTGTCGTGCGCGTCGCCGCCGCCGCCGCCACCGACATCGCCGCCGCCGCCGCCGCCGCCGCCGCAGCAGCAGCAGCAGCAGCAGCAGCAGCAGCAGCAGTCGCAGCCGCAGCCGCAGCGCCAGCAAGAAGAACTGATGCAGCGGCTTGAGGTTGGGCGTGAGGACTCAAATGGGATGCTGGCAGAGCGCGAGGGAGGTCAACGCACCGCGGGGCGGCGGGCGCCGCGGGCCCGAGAGCAGCCAACTGATCAGCAGCACAAGCGTCAGGAGCAGCAGGATGAGCAGCAGGAGCAGGAGGAGCAGCAGCAGCAGGAGAAGCAGCAGGAGCAGGAGCAGCAGCAGGAGCAGCAGGAGCAGCAGCAGGAGCGGCAGGAGCAGCAGCAGGAGCGGCAGGAGCAGCAGCAAGAGCGGCAGGAGCGGCAGGAGCAGCAGGAGCGGCAGGAGCGGCAGGAGCGGCAGGAGCGGCAGGAGCGGCAGGAGCGGCAGCGGGCCGCGCCTTTGACGGGGGCGTCTCTCGGCGGAGGCGCCCAGCAGCCGCACCCGGCCGAGCGGGCAACGGACGAGGCCTCAGCGGAGCACTCGCCGACGGCGGAGGCGCCGGCGCCGCCAGCGCCTGAGCTTCGGTCGCAGCCGCAGCCACAGCCTGAAGCAGGGGGGCCAGCGGCGGTTGGCACAGGGGCTGAGCCTGAGTTGGGGCTGGCTCCGGTGCAAGCCCGACCGCAGCGGAAGTCCACTCCACGCAAGCGCCCCGCGTCCCTCCACACGGCCGCACCATCTCTCAAGCGGCAGCAGTCACTGCAGCAGCCATCTCAGCAGCCAGAGAAACAGGAGCAGGAGGACGAGCAGCCGCCGCCGCCGCTGCCGCCGCAGCAGCAGCAGGTCCAGCAGCAACAGCCGCCGCGGTCGGTGCCGCCCACACCGCCGCCCCCCCGCGAGCCTCTGCGCCCTCCGACGGGCGGCGGCGACGGGCGCGGCAGCGGGGACGGCGGCGGCGACGGGGGCTCAGGAGAGGACAGCGATTTTCCGATTGCTGAGATTGAGGTGTGTCTGGATGAGGAGTCGGAGAAGTGGGGCGCCACCCTGGTGGCTTATGGGTACCCCCTGCAGGTGGGCCTCTTCGCAGACGAGCGCGGCGCGACGCGCTCCTGCCAGATCCTGGCCGCGGCGCTGTGGGGGCGCGAGGGCGCCGCGCTCGCGCTGGCCGGCGCGCCGCCCGCCGGCCGCGGCGGCCGCAGTGCCAGCGAGGGAGAGGAAGACGCGGCGGCGGAGGCGCCCGCATGGGTCACGGTGGCCGACGGCGTGCTGACAACCGTCGCGGGGCGGGTGCGGGAGGCTTACGCAGCGGTGTTCGAGCGCGCGCAGCGTTGGGTGCGGCAGCAGCACGAGGCGCTAGGCCAAGGGGCGGGCCGCGCGCCGCCGGCGGCCGGCGCGGATGCAGGCGCAGACGCAGACACAGGCGCGGGCGCGGGCGCGGGCGCGCCGCCGCCCGTGCGGGGGCGGCGGCGGCGCAAGGAGGCTGGAGGAGGGGGCGCAGCGGCGAATGGGGCGGCCCCGGCACGCCGGGCCCCGTCGAAGGGAGGGCCGCCGGCAAGGGGCGGCCCAGGTGGCGTTGCTGGGCCTCGCAAGTTGGCGCGTCGTGTGGGGGAAGGCGCGGCGAGCCCGGCGGGCACGCAGCCCTCGGTCGACCTGACATTAGACGACGAGGAGCAGTGCGGTGCGGCCGGCACTGCAGGCGCAGGGCGCTGCGCCCGCCTTGACGACCAAGGCCGCGCCGGCGGGGACGGGGCGGCGGCGCAAGCTGCGGAGTCAACGGGCGGCGAAAGGGACGTCATCGAGATTTTGGACTCCGACTGACGACGTTTCCAGAGCATGGGATGCTTGCATGCAGGCAGGTGCGTCGCATCAAGGCTGCGGTGCCGTGCGGGTGGTTCGAGTTTGCCTCAGCCGCGCTGACGAATGATTTGACACTGTCAGATGACCCAAAGGCTGTTCAGGGTGTTGCACAGTATTGTGTTATACTGTAAGTACAAGTGTTACGAGACTAAAAGCAAGGCAGCGGGTGTTGCTCATGATCAGGTGAACATCGATGCGTGGCGGGATGGCAGTGCAAGGGTGCCTGGTTGTGCAGGCTTGCGGTTTGCAGCAGGGTGGTGTCAGCAGCGTATAGGACAGTCCCACATGTGATTTAATTGTCCTGATTAGCGGCCTGGGCAAGGATGCATGGGTGCATTGCGTGTGTGCTTGGTGCTCGTTTCGGGCCAGGTCATCACAACGCAGCAACCAAGCCTCTACTTGCCACATGCTGGCCGCCCCAGCTGCCAGGGCTACGGTATGTCATGTTACATCACACCAGTGAATGAACCATCAATTGTTCAGATTCCAAGACGCTGCCAGCGTACGCGCCTGTCTCATGACAAACGCGTTGTGCACGCGACAACATCCCGCACCACGTCCGCATTGAATTGGAAACAGCCATAGAATTGGCACTATATTAATCGTGCGTGTCACCAATCACGACACAGCAAAGCAGCAGTGATCTGCGAGCACAACAATTTGAACAGGCAGCTCGCCGCGGCCAGTGGGGGCCTGCACCGGGAGCGATGTCTTCATACAGCTTCCCGGTGCTGGAGAATGATGAGCTGCTGCCATGCCTGGAGGAGATGGAGATCCCTATCACAGCGGCGCAGCTGGCCAAGCCGACGCACGAGGTGGTGGCGCCCATTTTTGAAAACATCCTTGTCAACCTCACGGGCATCACGAGGTAACAATCACTTGTGCGCGCTTGCCAAGTCCCGCGGCTGCACGCACAATGCCAAGCATGTGGCGCGAGCAGTCTCTCTACAGCAGCAGCGTCTGCACAGCCCTGGCGCCACAACACACGTCCCCATGCCGCGCCGCGCCCCCCTGCCCCCCTTAGGGAGGAGCTCAACCAGCCTGTGTTCGCCGCAATCGACGCGTTTGAATACCCAGAGCTCCACGATGAGTCAATCGCGGCGCGCAGCTTCTTCTCGCAGCTCAGCAAGCTCCTGGTAGTCTGCGGCGTCAAGGACTTCGGAATGAAGGTGGGGCGGCCCGCGCTGAGCCGCAAGTGCATGCGGTTCGGCCGATCTGCAGGCATGGCGGAGGCAAGGCACGCATGCGCCGCGTGCGGGTAGTAGTCGAGACGCACGTGTGCATGGGGGCCTCCGCGAGCGGCTGCTTTGGCGTGTGTTAGCAGACACAGCGCGGCGGCGCCGCCCGCTCACGCGCCGCCGCTGCTGAGCCGTGCCACTCCACACACGCCAACACCAGGACCTGCACAAGCCGGACGCGCTGCGGCTGCGGCGCCACCTGTCAGCCGTCATCAACTTTGCAAAGTTCAGGGAGGAGAAGCTCATCGCATATGCGGAGCTGCAGGTGATGCACGGATGGGCGGCGCAGGGCGAGTAGAACGTAGGCCCTGGGGGCGCCAGTGGAGCTGCGTGGAAGGCGCATGGGCCCTTCAGCGGCAGCCTGGCCTTCCAATGGCAGCAGGGGCTAAACGCCGCCCCACAGCGCGCGGCCGAGGTCCCTGCAAAGCGGCCGAGGTCCCTTGCGTGTTTCTGAAGGCAGCGCATGCGGAAGGGGAAGGGGCGCATGCGGCGTCGCAAGCAGCTGCTGCAGAGCCGGTGCGCACAGCGGCCCTGCCAGCGGTCGCACCTCACCTGTCAAGCTCGCCGCCCCTCCGCCGTCAGGCCCGCCTGGAGTCGCTTATGGAGCAGAGGCGGGGGCTGCAGGAGGAGCAGGCAGCGCGGGTGGGGGCCGCAAAGCGCGCGCGTGTGCGTGCATACGTGTGTGCACGGCTGCCCTGGGCAGCTGCAGCGTGTCGCGCGACATGCAACTGCGTGCGTCTGCGGGGGCCCAGCTGCGGGGGGCCCAGCTGCGGGGGGCCCAGCTGCGCGGCACACAATCGGTGGAAGGATGCAGGCAGGTGCTCGCGGGCCGCGAGTGGGCGGCACCATCATCACCCGCGCCGCCGGCCGTCACCGCAGGAGTCGGAGCTGAGGCGGATGCGGGAGGAGCGCGCCGGCGAGGAGGCGGTGGGTGCTGCATGGGCGGCGGCGGAGGCGGGGCCGTCTCGACTTTGGGCAGGGGCCGCGCGGAGGCCATGCGGCGGGGCCCCACGGGACGGCGCGCAAGCTTGGGGTGGACCGAGGCGGCGACAAAGGGCGCGCCTCCCGCTTGGAACCGCTGCGGCGCCGAGCGGGCCGCGCCACATGCAATTGTTTGCGCTGGCGCGCATGCTGCGAATGCACGAAGACCCCCCCCCACACACACACACACCCCGCGCAACCAACACAGCCCAGGCCTGCATCACCTCGCCTGCTCCTTCGCTCCCTCCTCCCTTGGATCCGCCAAGCTGCCACCTCAAACGCCACCTCACGCCCGTCCGCAAAAGCCGTTTTGGTCCCCACATCCGATGAGCTTCTGGTCCCCGAATCCAACCCATGATGCAACAGGATGCCAGCCAGATCCAGGCGGAGGCGGACGCCCTGCGGGGCGAGAACCAGCAGCTGAACCGCCAGTTTGCAGCCGCATCCTCTGAGGTCAAGGCGCTCAAGAGCCAGGTTGGCGGGGGCGCACGAACATGCACGCGAGCGTGTGCGTGCGTGTGTGTGTGTGTGTGAGAGAGAGAGAGAGAGAGAAAGAGAGAGAGAAAGAAAGAGAGAGAGAGAGTGTGTGTGTGTGTGTGACGGGGCAGAATTGAGTTTGTAGATTTGATCTGCGAGCATGTGATTGGGCATGTGGATGTTTGCACCTGTGCATGCGTGTGTATGTGTGCATGCATGCACGCGCGCGTGCATGTGTGTGCGTGTGCACATGTACGCACTAGCGACGGATGTGCAGTTTTTCTTGACAGCGGTGCGCACACCGCGCCGCCGGTTGGCCCAGCCTCTTCCAGCTGTGCACGCACGTCCGAGCGTCTCCCGACCGACCCGGGCCGGCCACGCGAGGCCGCCGCCCGGCACGCCCGCCCAACGGCCGGCCCCGCGCCACGGCGCCCCGCCGACCGGCTGACCTGCTGACCGGCTGACCTGCCGACCGGGCTACCCACCCAACCCACTCACCCGGCGCCCCACAGGTGGCACAGCTGTCCGAGGCAGTGCAGGCGGAGAAGTTTGAGCTCATGAACGGCCAGCAGGAGCACGAGCGGCTCAGGGAGCAGATCGTGCAGGCGCGCGCGGCTCGGGGCGTGTTCGTTTTTGCAGCAGCAGCGGGCGCGGCATGGCGCAGAGGGGCGACTTGCTAGCTGCGCCTGCAGACTGGAGCGGATGCCTGTGCAAAACGCTTTCGCTCCTGCTGCCTGCGGATGATGAAGCGGGGCTGTGTGTTTCAGGTTTGGGGTGCATGTGAAGCTCGAGCTTCACCTTTGAGCCACTTGGGCTTCATCCCCACCCGGCCGCATGGCGCACTGACTTCGCGCCGCCACCCGCACCCATCAGCTTCCCCAAACCACCAACCCCGGAGCAAGAGAGTCTCAAACCCCTCGAATCCCTCAACCTCAACACCGCAAAACCTCAGAGCCCTGACAAATTCAAGAGGAGCCTGGTCGAGCTGCAGGTGAGGATCTGCAACCCCCGCCGCGGCGCCCGCGCTTGCTCGTCGCCCTGACGCAATGGGAGCGCCCCGCCGGCTGCAGGCACGGCCGCGCCTGCAGGGGGCCCCGCCACGCCCCCTGTCCTGCGCCTCGTGCGGCGCAGCTGTGCGCACGGGCCTGCCTGATGCCCGCGGACGCCGTCGACGCGAGCCTCCGCCGCGCCGCCGCCGGATCAAGCGATCTGCACCACTCCCAGTGACGAGGATGGACCGCGCCCCTCACGACGCCTGCTCCCCCTTGTGCGCGCACGCACACACACACACACACACACACACACACACACACACACACACACACACACGCACGCACACAACAAACCCCAGTCAGCCGTGGACGACGAGCGCGGTCACGTGGACGCGGCGGACAAGAGGTGCCGCGCGCTGCAGGCCCGCGACGACACCGTCGGGAAGGTGGGCGGGCGCCGCCGTGGACTTCGACGCGCACTCCCGGACCGCGCGGCGCGACGCGGGCCGCTCGCGCCGCCCTCGGCGTGGCGGCGCCCACTGTTTGCGAAAAGTCCGTGTCTCCGCGGGCCCGCGCCGGCCGCATGGGCCTCCGGCTGGCCGCGGGGGCGCGCGGCCAGTCCCCTGGTGGCGCGCTGCAGCCCAGGGGTCATCTTGTGCCTCCATCCCCCTGACCCTGCCCGAGCCACGATCCCCCTTCTAACCCCCCTCCAGGTGGAGAAGGACGTGTCGAAGTGCCTCGAACTTATGAAGGAGATTGAGAATGAGGTGCGCGCGGTTGAGGCGCAGGCGTGCGTGCGCTTGGCGCGCATGTGGGTTCGTGTGCACGTGTGGCGCAAGCGTGTGGAGAGCACTGCATGTGGACAGTGGCGCGTTCTCTGCCGGCCGCGGCGAGGTGCGACGCCGCGTTGGGTTCATAAACGGTTGCATGCGCACGCCACGGACGGTCGCCGGCGGCCCCCGGCCCAGCAGCGTCCCCGCCTAGCAGCCGTGCGCGCGGGGCTGCCCGCGGCCGCGCCGCAGTTTGATCTGCCCTCCGTCCCCTCTGCCACCCCCGCCAGGTGGCGCGCAAGAAGGAGGCGAGCAGGCACGCCAAAGATCTGCGGGAGCAGATCGGCGCGGCCTCCAACGACGCGGCTGACATGGAGGCGAAGCAGCAGCACCTGCTGCGGCAGCAGGCCACGTTCAAGGACCGGATACGGAAGCTGGAGAGCCAGGTGGGGTGGGAGCGGGGGTCGTTGTCTCACAGTGAGAGAGACAGAGAGCGTGTATGTGGGCATGTGTGCGTGCGCACATGCGTGCATGACTGTAAGGGTCTTGTGAATGGCCTGCCTGTTGGTATAGACCCCCCAACACTCTCTCTTTCCACGCCCACCCGCGCAAGCCCAGGCGCCCCCTCCTCCAGCCCCCCCCTCCCCCTCTCCCTCTTCTGTGT